TGCTGCATGGGGTCTGCGAGACACAGGACATCACGAATGGACGCGGGAAGGGGGGGGGGTGCCGAGGGGGCTACAGCACCCCCATCTGCGAGGCTCCACTAGCACCCGCGCCCCCAAACGCGGTGCATCTACAGTGTAAGCGCGCCACAGTTTCGCCGCTGAGAGAGCGTGTGTGTGTGTGTGAGGAGCTCCACATTTGGACCAATGGGTCCATTTGGGTAAGGTCGCGTCACTGTACCCAGGAAGAAAAATTGAAATCCCCAACGAGGCGTTCTGGGGCAGCATAGACAGATTTTTTCTGTGTTAGAGTTTTACTCGCTACAGGGTGTACTTTGAGGGTTTGTGACTCTGCAGACCGTTTACATGCATAAAAACCTTCATACACACAAGGGGATGGGTAATAACCAGAAAAGCATGACATGGGACCTTTACATTTTGCAATGTTCAGGTTGTTGTCAACGTGCATGGCCTGCTTTGTTTTGCTTTTTTAAATTGATTAAGAAGAATTGTGATGGACTGTGCATGCAGACTGTATCACTCACTAGTAAAAACATGTTTTTTGTCTGTGTGGGTTCTTCTTCTTAGTTAAGTTATGTAAAGCTCGGTTGGATTCTACAAAATCAGATGCTGTTGGTACCTGTACATGTGGATAGATATGTAAATTGTAATCCCTGTACATTTTGCTGTATGACGTTCTTTTGTTCTTCTGTTGTTTATGTTTTCATGTTTTCATGTGGAACCTACTGCTGCAGGTCTCCCTTGAAAAAGAGATCATTGATCTCAATGGGATTTTACCTGGATAAATAAAGGTTTTGAATTGAATTGAATTGAATGTTCTTTTAAAGGAATTGTTTTACTGTGTATGATTACTACCTGTATTTTATACTCTACCTTTTAGTTATGACACTTTTCATGGGTTGTACACAACTTTTTCTGGAATACAAGTAAAGATGTTTACGTGATTTGTGAGATAATTTTGCTGATTTCCAGTGTGCATGATGATACTGTAAAAACAATTGTATTTCCCTCAGGGATGCATAGGTATAAAGTTTACATTAAATGAAAATACTCAAGTCAAACACCTCAAATGTGTAATTAATAACTTATGTAAATGTACGTAGTGTTTCATTTTAACACTGACAACATGGCAAAGACAAAGAGTAACAAAGAGTAACAATCTCAACTGTTGTAAAAAAGCAGATCACCATGAATTACGAATAAGAGCCTGGGAGCTCTTATAGAAAACCAAAGAATAATAGAATGAAGGATAATTAAGTCACACGTCTGTGGAGAAAATGGGACTGTGACTAACCATTATATAGGCTTTGCAACAATAGCCGTGTTGAGTTTCCCTTAAAGCATTACAGGAAAAGTGAAAATGTGAAATGGATTGTGCACTAATGTTTATATTTCTAAAGTCATTAAGCAATACATTACACGTTGTAAAGCCATTATAAAGTACTGTATAATCCTCTCCTTGAGCCGCAATTTACAGTAGCAACTCCACAAAAACATCACCAACAACCCGGGGGGCAAACTGTAGAAACAATTCACTCAAACTCAATGCATTTTACCACTTTGCATTGCAAGATAACAGCATTAAAGCATCAAAAATAAATGTGCCCAAAGACAACATTGAAGAAAACATTAGCAATTGTAAGCAATAAATTCACAACTTGCATGAATGCAAACATTGCACATGCAAACAATAGAAAAACAAGCTAGCAAGCAGTCAATAGCAACAGTGGAAATACTGCTAATACAGTACATGCTTCAAGTTGGTAGAACATGCAGCTAACTCTTACCTTAGATTGGTGAGATGAAGCGGCGATGAAGACATCTTAACATTAAGACCAAATCCTTGGGAAAGTTGTCCTTTAGTAGGAGTTGTGGTACCCTATGACAGGAAGATGGCTAATATGTTAGCCATGAAGTGCAAGTATTGCTAAGAGACATAGCTCAAAATAACTAGCTAATGGAGTCGACTGAACAAAAACATATACTTCTTCAATTTCGCCAAGAGAAAGCCACATTACTTGACTTTTTGACAGGTGTGTTGGCGTTTTTTCAACAACTTCAGTTCACAAAGCAGCAGGTGGCAGTAGTTTTCATTTAGCACGGGGTAGCTTAAATAAATGCGTTTAAAAGAGACGTCACTAGCTTAAATAAACCCGTGCGTATCTGTTGTGATTACTGTGTCACGCATTGTGGTGGACAATCATTTACAAGGCTATATTAACTCAAGTGCTTCCGTCCAAAAATATTTCCATGTCCTGCTACTTTATACTTCAAATCCACTCAAATGCATGGTTGACATTTATTTGACAGCTTAGTTACTTGGAAGTTTCAGATTCATATTCATCCAATAATAGAATATACATATTACTGAAATGGGCTGCACAATTAGAAGGCCTACTGGGTGCAAAACATTTTCAAGTCACAATACAAATTGTGTTTCTACATTATAGCTTCTACATAATATTGTTAAGTGCATTGTAAAAAATGCAGATGAGGGGAATTTTGTGTTTTCAGCAATGTGTTTTATGGCAACGCATTAGCCTGTAACCAAATTCACCCTTGAGAATAATAAAGATTGAATTGCAAACCACAGGGACACTCGTATAAATGTTTAATTTTTGGCTGGGAGCTTTGCTTGAAACACTGCCGTATTGGCTCAGCTGTAACATTTATGAAAGGGAAGCACATTGTCAAGAAGTTGATGTTCTGAATGGATCAGTTTGGGGTATTTAAGATGCCCTTGTCCCTGACAGCCTTACACAAATGGGAAGAAATCAGGCCTGTGTGTTTCTGTGTGTGTGTTTCTGTGTGTACACGTGTATGTGAGGGATGTGATGTGAACCCCTGCTGTTGGGTAACCCCACTGTGTGAGATCTGACAGCTCCCACTGCTGTCTGTATGACAGGATAAAAGAGCATCAATGTGTGTGTGAATCAGATAGTGAAAAGGAGGAGGAAGTGGCCAGAAAAAGACAAAGAGAAAGCAGAAGCTTATTCACACACAAGAAATAAATACATTTACTCAAGTGAATGTCTCTTTGAAAGCTTATCTGTGTGAGCTCGGACAAACTAGATGTCCCACAGCCCTTTGAAACCCACAAAAACCAACAGCAGGACTGATGGTATCTGCCGGGTTGACCTCTATAAAGTAGAAAATCTGAGACCTAACCATCAAAGTCTAAAATGTAATTGAGCCCTTAGCAACGTCTTCAGACAATGAATGGCACCATGGGAGCCTTCTTACTTCTTTCTCAAAGCAAAAAAACATGACAACTCCCCTGTGATCTTTCAGTTTTTAAGAACAATGAAGTCTTGAATTGTTGATAATTAAAATAAAAGCACGGTGAGTGTTAATCTTGCACTTAAAGATAACAGGTGTGCTTTTATTTCCCACTTTAAAGCAAAGAAAATGTAGTAATAAATGCATCCTTGAAAATCTATTCGAGATGCACTTTGCAGTTCTAGGTCCTCTAAAGCAGCCCTAGCATAAAAAGATACAATTTACCATGACATTTGTTAGGTGGTTCTTACTCTCAGAAAACATTGCTTTATTTTTAGCGTATCCAAGCCATTTGTCCATTCTTCTATAAGTATGACTTAGAGCATACATGAAGTCCACATGATGTATTATGATTTCTCAGAGGAAAGGGTTTCTTCCAAAACTTGTTCGGGCTAACTTGAAGTACTAAATGTACTCTCAGAGAAGAGGAATAACACTGATGCAGACTGAAAATGGTTACATGTTACTCTCCTGGGACGGCAGCAATTTCAGTTTTCTACCTGACTGGAACACATAGTCACTGAATATTGAGAGAGCCTCTTCAAAGTGTCACATTCTCCCATTTAAGACACTGTTTTGCAATGCTGTTCACTGTGCACAACACAACTCATGTGAGCTGGGGCATGTGTTTTGGATGGATTCTGCTAGAAAAATTGACTTCACTATTCTGCTGCAAAGCAAGCTGTGTAGAATTTGTAAGGAAACCTTGAGGAGCTAAAGATTTAACATTAAAAAACAAATATATTCTACTTCATTTGAAATAAAAAAGCAAAAACAGAGCCCTTGTTTTTCCATAACCTTCACTTCAAAAAGCCCAAAATCAAAAGGATGGACTTACACATTCCAGTGCCAGAAGAGGAGGAGAGTTTAAATATCAGAGTTTTCTGGATACACACCAAGGGAGTGGACAATTGTTCATTCTTAATGTGGCATGCCGTGTCATATTTACTTAAGTTAAAAGCTGTTTACTTTGAAGCGAGGCTCAACTTGCACACAGAGAAACATTTTAGTGATGCATGACTCTTCTCCTCTACAGCCTGTGGATGACTCATGCTTCTGAGTGACTATCAGAAAATACAGCTGAGGGCAATGTTTGTTTCTTGAAAAGTATCAAAGGGAAAAATAAGACAGACGTTTTTATCACTGTGTTACGCCCCTGTCTTGTACACACACAGACATGTTTTGCATCTCAAATCTTTGCTGAAAGATTTCTCCAGTTAAATTCCAGTTGAATATATCAGTCAAGTCAAACCACAAACGCACTAAGTAAATCACACTTCCTTGTGGTAGTTAGGCCTGAATGTAAGAGTGTTGCCATGTTTGTGAAAAAAGGTAAATTAATGCCAAGTTAACAGTAATTGTTCTCTTAATGCTAATGTATTCATTACCAGGTAACTTTGTAATTTTGATTCTTCTTAATGGAAGATGGGTTAATTTGTTGAGGTGCATGTGAGGTGGGTTGAATTATTACAGAGACAAGTTATATCAATGAGTTTTAGAAATACCTCACAATATGCAATGGAAAGCATACATACAACATTATAACCTCTTTAACCAGCTTTACTTCAATGCTTTTTTATAATTCAACCCTTGGATTAGGTATATCCTTTAAACCCATAATTTAAGCTGTCGAGTTTACCTTTAACAACCAACTAACCTGTTTTCTGGTTACTGAATGACAAAAGAATGGGAAATACACAGGAATGAATGAAAGCAACTTTTACTTTGGAAAAAATGTGACATGCGATGTGAACACAACAGAAGATGGGCTGATTCCAATGATGGAAAAGGAGGATAAACCGCAAAAAACGATTCACAATTACTCTTTTGTCAGGGATGGTCAGGACAATAATCACATGCTTCATCTCCATCAATTTTCTAATACAATCCATCACACTCCTAAACTGGAGAAAAGGTATAAAATGTTGAGTGAGAAATACATTCTTCAAAATACTCCCCAAAGACACTGCACAACAGTCATATTATCTGCTAAAGAGTATGCACTGCCTCAAACTCACACAGGGACATCAAAGATTAGGAGTAAAACAATGCTTAAAAGTAAAACTCAATAAAAGCCAGAATTCCCCAAATGCCTGTCCTACTAAATGTGTGTGTGTATGACTGAACATATAACAGTAGGCTCATAGACTAACACATTTGTGTCACAGAAAACACACAAGTAAAAGAGGGATTCATAGGCATGTAACAAGTCAAACCAGAATACATTTGTAATAAAATGTTCAGTAGTAGGTCATAATTATTCTGCAACATGAATCCCCTGATTGACATGTGCCTCCAAAACTCAGTCCTCGTACTCAGTGTACTTTTTGGCCGACCCATGCACTTTGTTTGCGGGGTATTTCAGTCGATTAAGGGCCATTTTCCGAAGCACTGCTTGGGGTAGATCGACTCTACACTTCTCTGCGAGCTCCACCAGGTAGATCAACACGTCGCTGAGCTCCTGGGCCAGATGCTCTCGCTCGGCCTCGGTCCAGTCCGGCAGGCCCTCGGCCACCTCTCCCCTCCACTGGAAGAGCTCCGACACCTCGCCCACCTCCCCGACCATCGCCAGCAGCAGGTTGCGGGGCTGGTGGAACTGATTCCAGTCCCTCTCGTCCGTAAAATGCGCCTGCATCCGCCTAATGTCCTCGATGGTGGGCTCGGGGCTGAAGGCGAACCTCTCTGACCCGGCTCCTGCTCCGTTCTGCAGCTTTGAGAGAGCTGATGCCTCCGTTGTTGCTCCGTTGACAAGTGACTTGTCGTTGTTGCTGGTCAAAGACCCTGATGGCTCCTCACCGTTTAATCCAAATGCGTCTTTTCCGTTTGTAGCCATCATGTTTTTTACTTGCGCTGGCTGAAAAAACAAGTTGAACAAGCTGTTCAACAACTACCATGTGAAGCACTCCCGCCAGATGTCAAACCGGATATGATGCGATGTATGTCGGAAACCGGAATCTCACCAATGAGCAGTGTGACTGGGCTTTGTAGTTTTACCATGGCAACCAGCGTCGTCGAAACTCATATAAAATGTCACCTTAAAAAACTACAAATCCCGTGTTGACTGTAACATAACAACATGGCAGCCTCCTCTGTGGCAGCAAGTGAGCTGCTACAAAATATGAATAAACATATATCAATATTGTACCCAAAGGCTTCGTATGTTATTAGAAGGATAAGCACATCCAGACAACGAAGCGACAGCCAGCCGCAGCTGAGAGTAAAAAGGTAAGAGAGGCTGCTATGGCGGAATACTTTGTTATAATGCCCCTGACCTGCTCGTTACTGACCTGTATGTAAGCAGTGGTAAACGATAAAAGATTGTATGGCATGGAAGCCTATATCTGTCAATGTGATTATAATGTGAAAAACATATTCCAACCATGACTCAAGGACATTGCATCACAAATAATGGCTTTGTATTGCAAGTTTTATAGAATTGCAATTATATTATTTTAGTATTTGAAATGGGGTTATTAATTTTCCATTCTGCATTGCATTTTGGGATAATATTGTGCATGAAAAGCTTTTTTACTATTCATAATGACTTCTTTGAATATAGGTTATTTTAGTCACACTTTAATACACTGCGTACTTCCATTCACCTGCTTGAAATAGTTTGTACAAGGGAGTCACAACATATTCAGTTCAATCCATGTATTGTGGACACTACATAATACACCAGTTATACAGCTTTTCTGGCTGATTTGACCTCCTCAGTTCAACTGCCTTTATTTTGTTCATATCTGTCTCACACCTGCCTCCTCTGTCTCTCAGTGCGCCCAAGCAGCTGGTTGGCGTGGTGGGCCTGGAAGTCCACGCCCAGATTAACTCCAACACCAAACTTTTCTCCGGCTCATCAGTACGCTTCTCAGCTCCTCCAAACTCCCTGGTGTCACCCTTTGATGCATCCTTACCAGGCACATTACCTGTAAGTGTTAGTAAACTTATTTCAAACAAAGATATCCTGTTTCGTGATCCCTGTCTTGTCAGGTCACCACGTAATGTCCCTGTGTTTCTCCAGGTCCTGAACACAAGATGTGTCAAAGCTGCTGTGATGACAGCACTGGCTCTCAACTGCACCATAAACAGGACATCTCTTTTTGATAGGAAACACTACTTCTACGCTGACCTCCCTGTGAGTTTTTCACTCCTTTAACTACTTCCTGTGCAGTATCTAGGTTTCAATATGCCGAAACACAGACGTTAGTGGGGGTTATTTTATCAGCCAAACGGCAGTGTAAAGACACTAGTCCTGCTCATCATGCTGCATCATTGCTTTTGCTTTTTATGTATAAGCTGTCCTCATCTGCCTCCAACTTCTCCATTACAGTTTCCCACTGAACTCTCCCGGCCATGAGCTTTTATTCAAGTAGTGAGCAAGTCTTGCTGAAGCAGCAAAAATGTTATTTGCCTCACATACAGACGAATGACACTGAAAGCTATTAAAGAAAATGTGTTTCTTTCTCTAGCCAGCTCATTTCCTTCAGTGCACTTCGATTGTTGTATTACCCTCAGGTCATTTCCCTCTCAATGCATTTGCTGCAAATTTGGGCATAGCTCTCTTTTATTCACATCATCTGAATGATAATTATAGTCATATAACCCCAGGTAGTGTTGTGTAGCTAAACAATTCAGGGAGTTTGATTGTGTTTGCCTGAGCTAATAATGCAATATGAAGTTTAAATAGTTAATTTAAAAGAAAATACTTGTACGCTTATTATAAACCCTATCTATTGTATTTACCCTTAAAGAACTACCAGTCATTTTCTTAAAGTATGCCTTGGTGATTTCTAATCGAATTTCCTCAAACAGTTTCTGCTGACTACACTCGTTTATCTGATGTATAGTCTTTTCTATGTGGTAAAGAAAGTCTAACCCTTTTATCCTTTTAACTTTTTCGTCAGTTTTTGTGTCCACCAACTCTTGGGGGAAAAGTAATGTACCTTAGTTAGTCCTTGCTCACTATGTTCACCAGCTCATTGTTAACTGTATTTGTCTGGTGCTAGGTAGTAAGCATGCAGTCCATTATAATGAAACAAAGAGGTGAAATATGTTTAAGTGCTTTGTTAGCTGAGAGAAATACAAATATTTATGTTCACTTTTAATTCCTTTTATGCAGTTTTTTTGTATGTACTGCTGTAAAAGAATCAAAGAACTAGAACAGAGAAGTTAGCCAGCATGGTGTTTGAAGAATTACACCTGAGTCCAGTGATTGTGAAATGGAAATGTGGTTAGCATGCATATATTCAACATTTGATATGAACCAACCAGTATTTTAAGGTAGTGGTGGAGTCACTCCAACAAAAAAAAAGACCGTCTTTAACATCTATATTCCTATTTAACAGCCCGTCTTGCCTATGAGATTCACTTTGCTCCCTGTAAAGGAGTCCTCGCACGGAAAGGTTTCACTAGCCCTCAGAGCCCCGGGGTAATTTAACTTCCATTATGAGTGACATTTTAAGGCTTTTAGAGGGAAAGACAAAATGTCAAAGGAACTCTGCAGTGACTAGCCCTGGAGACACCTTTTTCTAATCAATCTGAGAAACTCTCAGAAGAAAGGTGTTGGAGAATTGAGCAATTTGAGTGTTAAAAGCCATTATTTCCCTGGTAAGATATTATGCTAACACCGCTTTGGGCAAGGTAATGGGAAGGGTAATTAGAGGCTGAATAACTTAAGAGACAGATTTCATTTGGTTGTATTTTATAGAAACTGCCCAGAGAAGGAGCTTAACATTAGCCTATCTCCATGAAATAGCAAGACATACACTAAGTATGAGCTTTAGCTGGTATTTTATTGCACTATTCTTACTACTGTATAACACAGAAATACATTATCTCGATATTTCTGATTAGTCTTGCTCTAATTCCCCAGCTTACATCACTGTATTGTGAAAATGTGACTGATAAGGCTCGATGGAGCACAACAGCTTTCTGTAGATCTTGATAGATGGAGTTATTTCCCATTAATTTTTTCCCAGACTCACTGGTTATCACAGAGTTGCAGCAGAACATATTTTAATCACAATGGTAGGTACATATCGCCCCAGAAAGTCCATGTATCTTGAAAGTTTAACAAAATCCCCTCCAGAAGCGCAGGGATTACTGTTGGGTTCCACTCGCTCTTTTGTGTGTTTGCTGAGGATTGCATCACCTCCTTTGGAGAAACTCTTAGCAGTTGACAGACACAGCAGGGAGAATAATACCCGATTACAATTTTGTATTTTTTTCTGAGTTTTCCCCAAAAACTCATGCTGCGCTTTTTAGCCTGAACCTTTGTTTGTGTTTTAGAGTCACTGTTTACACCTGCTGTTGCCTTGCTTATATTTATTGAGTTTCCTCTAGTCCCATCAGCTGCTCAAAAGAGTGATGATGTATGAACAGCATGATAGATGAAGTCAGATTGTTTTTTAAATTAGTCATATGATAATTTTCTGTTCACCTTCAATCTAAAGTTTGAGTGTAATCAATGCTCTTAAAACCAAACCATCAGCAGAATGGAAACGAGAAATGTTACCGCCCTTGAAATATACATTTGTAAATTGCGTTGTACATTATTGATGTATTCCACTGGAAATCCCTGATTGCATTTAGTAAAACACCACAGTCGCTCATTAAATGATTAATGCTGCTGCCGAACAAGTATTCCTTCTTTAATTGCGATGGCAAGCAGGGCACATGCACTGCTGTATGTCAAGTTTTGAATAGTTCCTAAATAACATGCATCAGCAGATCCACGCTCACCTTTCAGTAAAACCAAATAATTACAATTTCCTTGAGATATTAAGTTTCCAGATAAACACACATGGCCTGGTTTTTGAATCTTTGACATGTGTTAAACAAGCCTTTGAGCTTCTGTAGGACACTCTTGGGTAGCAAATAAAACAGTTCTTTCAATCAGTGTGCAGCGCAAGGAACGAGACAGCGGCTGACTCTTGTCTGTTTAGTGGATTTGACAATAATCAGAGAATGACTCAGCAGCTCACAACAGGGAAATTAGTTTGGAGTAGTCATTGGACAATATGAACATTTCATGTCCTGATTATCATGGTCAAAATAGTATTATCAAAATATGCAAAACATACTGGACATATAACTTTCATTTACTTAAGAAACAAATATTTTAATTGCATCACAGATTTTTTAAAGCAATCTTACGTAATATTTGTTTTAGTTAACGTCATCTTAAATAGTAAGGTCTCCAGGCATAACTAAAGGATAAATAAATAAATAAATTATAGTATCAACATTTTGTAAGTGTGTCTTTTTCACCTGATAATTCCTATCAGGCTCTATTCTTCAATTCTCTACAATGTTAGCTAGAAAGCTTTTCCAAGTCACTCATGTCAGAATGATCCTGATGATGGAAATGAAACATGATCAACTTATTGTTTTTATCACGATTCCTAGTTTGCAATGTGTGTCGTCAGCACTGTATGTGAGCGGGCATGCATCTGTATCTTTAGATATAAGGAGGGTGAGGATCCACAGGGAGTGTTTAGAGCATCCCTGCTCATTATGGCCTTGAGCCTAATCGGAAATATTAATGTGGATACCAGTAGCTTAGGGACTTTCCTCACCCTTCATTAATATATGTGGCAAAATCAGTTGATTTATTATGCAGGAAATGCTAGTAGTCTTCACTTGAACAGATGCTCCCCAATGTATAGTGCTCGCCTCCCCCTGGCAGAGGAAACATTTCCAACGCTGAGACGAAACTCATGATGAGATTACGTTTGGAACAGGGGATTTCTGATAAGCTGCGACAGTTTCCACAAAAACCCTGCAGATTTAAAGATTGAATCCACCCAAAAGAACTTGAATTAAAAAATAAAATCCCCCAAAAGTGTTATTTTCTCTCTCATCTGTTTTAAAAAGGAGGAAGTGATTGATTTTGAAGATCATCGTACAGAGAGCCAGGGACTAAGAGAACCCCAATCTC